CTAACTCTCATTTACTTTGCTGAGTATGATTCAAAAATCCGTACCCGGAGAAGGTTCTTGTGTCTGTAAACCCAATAACACGATGAGCAGACTCGAATTTTGTATTTTTGACATAAACTCGGTGCCTACCATTGTCACAGTATAAATACAATCGCTAGTACGACACACCAAACACACATACCTCTCGAACTGACATATTTCCCACCCGATGTGACACCAAAGATCCCCAATGTACCCTGAAAATCATCCTTTAATCATTGTTGAACATCGTTTTAACAATGAAAAACAGAGATGTGAATTTACTGGACAGGTTGCCACACACAAACAATTTTCACCCATCGAACGTCTGCGCCAAACACCGATATGTGGGTTTACATCATTCCTCACTCCAGCATTTGATTCAGATGCCCTTTGTACAAAACGGTTTTATTGTCCTGGGGACCTTTTTCAGCTCCATCCATACTCAAATACTGAACTGTATCTTGCTTTATTCTGAATTATAGGAGATGAATTGCGTTCAAGATTTCTCGAAGTGTACTGGAGTTTCAAGTCCATTCCACAAAACTGCTTTGAATAAGCCATTGGGCCGGTCATTTGATCAATAAATCCAAGATACTCCCCATGTTTCGGAAGTCAATCTATTGCTGATTTTTCACACCGTGCTTTGTTCGCCTCTTCTGGTCACATTGAATCTGGAGTTGTTTCACCAAAAAACTCCTAACTCTAACCTGAACACTGCCAATCTATCGACCGCCGTTGCTCCGTATGCCTTAGTGGCTTGCAGAAAATTGATCGATATTGTATTTCAACCGTCTCGTGCAAAGACAATCTGACCTGTTGCATACTGTATAAATCGTCACGCACTTCGACCTTTGATGATGATAGTGCTTCAAACAAAGATTTGTGTGCCGCGGTATCAAAATTTGCATTGAGTAGAGGTCGTTCGTGTGAATTTTACTCTTGAGTTTATTTACGGGTACTATTTTCCTCCTTCCTGTATTTACATGTCACCAAACATTCGGCTTATTACAACAATCCTGGTTTTGCGTGAGATCTATCAGGCGTTCGAGGCAATCAGAATTAATGTCGGCTGCCGGGGTTCGACCGTTTTCTTTCCCAAGGTATGTACCGTGAAAATATCAGTTAGAAAGTAGTATTTTTTCTCTTGCTATAGAAACCTCAGTTGCAGATAGATTTCCATCCCACAGCGGACCTTGGAGGCACCGGTTTTTTAAAACTTTTGACGTCTTGGCAGTTTCCGCAACGATGTGACATACTCAATACTTTTGAATGCGTGTGAGATCTCATCACAGATATGTCAATATTGAACAGCACTGCTCGTCTATGCGCATTGATGTCGTAGAGAAGTTACAAATACTGACAATGTTGTGAAATATAGGTAGCTCGGGTGTGCTGATTGGTTGTTGGTCAGTTCGCCGAGCTTGACAGTTTGGCTGCAAACGTTTCATCACCAATCGGGGTGACATCGTCAGTGCGGGGTTGAGTGGGTGATTCCCCCTCTTCTGCCTGTACGTATATAGCTCCTAAACAGCATCTTTTCGCTCTGAAGGCAGCATGTATGTAGTTCGACAGTTCTGTATGCGATTCTCCTGTTGTGATTCCATCATTTTATTCTTACTTTGTGGTTTGGATTTGCTCCCTTGAGTGGTTGATTCAGTGGTATTCTGTTTTTCGTAGTTTTCTTCCTTTGAATCCATTGGTCCGTTGGTTGCCGTTGGGTTTCTTGATTTTCTAGAGTTCCGCGACTGTGTAACGGCTGAATTAACCAATCAATGGAACAAATCCAAACCACAAAGCAAGAAGAAAACGACCGAATCACAACAAAACAATCACGTGTAGAACTGTTGAATTAAATGCGCCCAACGAACCAATCAGAAACAAGTTAATGAAGCCAAGTCATAGGGGACCAACCAAAGTACGCGAAAACCGCCTTCAGATGCTGTTTAGGAGCTATATAAGTACAGGCAGAAAAGGGGGGATTCACTCACTCAGCCCCGCACTGACGATGCCACCTCGATTGGTGATGAAACGTTTACAACCCAACTACCAAGGTCGGTGAACAGACCAACAACCAACCTTACAAATGCATCACGAAACACACTGCTATCACTGCCGAACTATGAGAACTCCCGTACCGCACACTCTTTGAAGGGGTGCGGTACCAAAGGCCTGGTTGCAAGCGTACAGACAGCTTCGCCTACACGGCGAGTGTGTTTGGTTAACAGCTCTCCTGCAACCAAACAAGCTGATTCTTGTGTGCGCTTTCGGCTCATTGTATGTTTATTCCCTTACTCATGGTGTATAATCGGTATCTAAACATTACGGCAAAAGTTAAGAGCGCGCATTCTTTCTGGTACCTAAATCGCTCACTTTTAGTGTTTCTCCCAGCTTTTGATTGTGGATTAGGGAAATCAGCTCATTACCCCTCCTTTCCTCTCTAGGACAACCCATTTCCAGAACATCTCACTATTGTCTGTGTTCGGTGAATCTGACGGCATCCCCTATGATATTTGTGTTTTCGGGTACTTTTCTCATGTGATCTTATGCTTTCTACCATGTGTCGTTGAAAATATGCTTTTCTATGGTGTGAAACGCTAAGAAGTTTAGCAGAACGTTTAACCTTTCGTAGGAAAAGTAACTCAGTGCAGGACCACTGCTTTCCAGTCATGTCATTCATACACCGTCAGACAGCTCTCTACCACCGACTGATACATTGTTGTTTTACTCGACTAGTTAGCACTCATCGTCTTTCGCACTCCTGTTCCTTTCCACGTGGCAAGTGTAGTTGGCGTAGATCTCTCTGACTGTATGGTGACAAAGAATTCGACCACCTTGTGTATGCATTTTGCCAGGACAGACATCCCAGTAAATGGCAAGACAACGGCCATAATAAATCCACTAATAAAGTCAGTATGATAAAATACATTGGACTGTCAGGAAAGTATCCAAATGATATGGGAACATAAAAACATGTGTACGGAATCCTCCGGCTCTGAGTTTCTTCTGTCTCCCAGTGTTGCTCGACAGCCGGAGAGCCACACGAGAAAGGCAGATGAATTTAAGCAACAAACGGAATCGTTTCCAAGCTGTGGTATTTTGTACATCAGCCAACTCCACTCCAGAAGACTGGAAACAAAGACTGCATTGCTGCTACAAATAAGAAAGAAGCACACGATTCGTTTGGAGAACGACTGGGAATATGAAGTTACGGAACAAGCGACCACATTTGGCGCTGTCGATTTGTTGCCTGCAGTAACAGTAGTTTACATGTGACCCTCCAGAATGATGAACGTCGAACAGTCGTAGCTCTTATACACAAACAATACGTGCATAATACGACTTTAAATCACCATCATGCACTACGGCCAAAAGACCTGTGAATTATTCAAACTGGCACATGTTCTCTGTGGTAGGTGTTGAGAGGTAGTTGGTTGAAGTAATTTGCGAAGCAGTAACCCGCTGAGGCATTTTTAACTAGTTGTATCCTTTGCTCTTTACCATGCGAGTTCATGAACAGTGCCAATCAAATGATGATAAATCCCTGAAGAGGGCAAAAATCCAAGCCGGGCACGATCAGGGTGAATGGGTTTCTCCACTGTACTCATCCCTACAGAAAGTGAGAACTCCGAGTTCTTTTAAAAGAATACTGAAAAGTTAAAATCTTCACAAAGGTAAAAATTGCACTAGAGGCATGCAAAAACAGAGTTTGATTGCCAAAGCACATGGAGGTGAGAAAGTGGTTTGGATATTTCTCTCACGAGAAGCGAGAATGTTCAACAAATGCTCAAGATGTTTCTCAAAAACAGCGACAAGTCTGCTGGTACTCACCATGGTGAGCTGTTCTGTTTGGGTATCCAGTCACATAGATTAGTCGTAACAGGTTTGATCAACGGCGTTGAAGTTCCAGTATACTTCTAGAAATCTGGCGCGCAATTCATCCCCTGCAATGCAATAGATAGAAAGTAGTGCTTCACTTTCTAGTAATCATTCAAAGCAAGTGGGATTTGGAATATTCCGACGACGAGAATCACATACATTAGATATTCCGATCTGAGTGAATCTAGGAAAGCTGAACACACACAAAAACAAGTAATTAGGCAGCAACTCATGTGAAAAATCTTCTGCATGCCTTATGTGCTTTCATTCATGCGTACCAATGGACGTTCTCACTTTTTCTGATGAACAGTAACTATGATTTCAACGATGCCGTCAACGAGAGTAACGTAGACAGACTATGACGGGAGTACACACTGTCTAATTTACTAAATCTTGAGATTTTCTTAAAAACCCTTCTGTCTGTGTGCTTGATAACTTTTCTTGTTCAGTTGTAGTGTGGGCAACCGATCGGTCTCTCTGGTACCAAGCATCATTTACTTCAGACTTGAATCTGCACTTTATTTCACTCCACAACCGAACAGTAGTGTAGGGCTACTTCATCCCTATTTTCGGAAAGAAGCTGGGAAATTCCAGTATTCACTTGGGCCTTGAACAGTGTGGAACTATATTTGTAATGCGCTACTCGTTAGGTTGATGAAAACCGCTCGGCAGCCGACGACCGGTTTCGCCCTTCTTGGGGCTCATCAGGTAGGTGCAGTCCCCGTCAATCTTATGTTCTACTTGAAACCAAATTGCACGAACTTAGCGAAATACACTCATTTGTGAACAAATTTGGTTTTTCGAGAGACTCACCCGAAACCCAGCTGAATTTTTCTCGGTTTCGATGTTTCCAGGCAACTGAATGTGCTGCACCAGACCGCTCCATGCTTCAGTCGCTACGATATTCAAGATATCGCTAAAGAGCGGAAACTATTCACCATCCGATTATTCATTTCACGTCACGTGGCCTGGTGTTGCCTTGACCCTCAAGGGACAATTTCTTTTTTTATGGGAAGCTGTATATTATAAAAGCCTCCTTAAATAAGGTTAACTTACTAGGATGAAGTCAAGCACCTAGGCAGTCACTGAACTACTGAGTATCCTTGATAGAGGGAGTGTTGGTGAGACGGATTACTTATTTCATCGGAGTAGTAAATCATGACAGGCTATACTTTCTGAAACATTGACCCACTTAACAGAAGCCTAATCCTATTCTCTTGTAAGTTTTGTGCTCAAGCTTCTTACTGGACCAATACATTCTGTGCTGGCGCATTCATGGCCTCATTTCTGCAAGTTAATCCGTGTGCTATGTGCTTGATTGACTCTTACGAGACTCCGGTAACAATAAGTCTGTTCATCTTCCACCGAAATGCATCGACTTTGCTTTAATTCAACAGATTCTGGTCGCAGATCGGTTTACTTTCTTTGAGGCATTGTAATGGAACAACAAAGGGGATGTCTTGGGCCGTTTGACTAAGTGCGTCAAACCAAGCCGGTGTGATGGTGTGCACCGGTTGTGCACAATGGTGGTGTAATACTCCAGTCGTAGATGAACCAATCTTCTACCTCACGACTAAATCAGTTCGGCAGATTTCCCAAGGACAATGTCCCACGCCAATTTACCGGTAATTTATTTTGGGACGCGCAAGCAGACTGGACATACGTGCTAGTGATGAAATCAATTGACGTAACCGTCAAAACATGCTTATACAACAACTACACTCAACCTTGATATATCAGTAATTTAGCAATAATTGTGCTTGTGAATAAGTCTATTTCATTCATTGATTCTAACAGGCCCAGCATACCAAACGAACTGAACAATATAAGCAAAACCAGTTGGGTGCATTATCTTGCGATTGTCCTAAAACACAATGAGGCTGGGTGAAGCCATTATGTCTCTAGATAGTAACAGCCCAATTACGGATGTTGTTCAACGCTGTACCGGTTTAACGGTGATACTACTGATGGGGAGGCACGCGAGTAATATGTATTGTTGTAGAATTTCGCTTTGCGTCTATTGAAAATGGGAGATCTGTTGCGTAATTCGTAGAGCCACTTTGTGGCACTTGCTTGGATTTGACCGACGAATGAGTGGAGTCAATGAATCTCCAGGATGACTCGTTCGGGAGAAGATCGGTGTCCAGTTTTTGTAACTAAGATGCAGATTAGAGTTTTGCCTCCCTGTTCAATGGTCTGTAACCGGTCAGTTGGCATTTCCGGATAAATAACTCCGCAGTGAAGGCTTTCTTCCTTTCACCGGTAATGGGATGTCGGATAAACCCGAACAACGCGATCAGCAATGCAGGCGTTGCTATTTTTGGTCACTCAACGGACCTAATTACGACTATGTGGCAGTAGACATCGAGGGGAACATCTTATAACGAACGAAACTCAGAAATTTGATCTTATTTGCGTAGGTGGAATGCTAAGGGTACAAAAGGTAAACATCAAAATAGAACGACTGGTGGTCTAACGAAGGCTATACTGTATGGATTTCATCAGCATGTATAAATGCCTCCCCGAGCAGTGTTACTACTACCTTTCAGGCAGGTAATTATGGAGGTTCATTGCGTGAAACTGGAACAAGCGAAGTAGGAATCCCTACAGTGGCGAGGACAATAAAATTCGGAGTGCTTAACGATTGCCTTCATCGGAGGAAACAGATAACAAACCGACTAAAATTCAGTGACTTACTCGTTTGTGTTTTCCGCGAGATTGGAAGAGTTCGTATGAATGCGGGTTGACTGATACCACCTTCTGGCTTTATGGGCCCAGCACAAAAGTGCACCAGATTCGGTATGCCTGGATGATTGGTATTCCCAGGTTCGGATGAATCCCGCTCTGGACAAATGGTCTCCTCGGGTAGCCTGTCTGTCCATATTACTGGGCAGCACCGATGTACTTCTGTATACCAGAGCTGTACGTGCCATTCACACGGAACACGGTAGTATAATTCCGGTCGCTTGAGTATCAGTTTGTTTAGAGCTGACTTTTGGTCAAGAAAAAAAACAAGAAAATAGAATGAGGAAAATATGGGCTACCTTCTTTCTTCACAACTAAACACACTGCATCATTTTACTTTAGTCAGTTTTTTTAAATAGGTCATTTTTTGACCGCTGCGTTTTTTGATGAGTGTAGAGCGAGCAGCTGAAGTGCAAGTCCATCAAGAACATCATTATAACGCTGTCATCTTAGAAGAAGTTTATCTGAATGAGAAAGTGGATGAAGTCTAATACTTCTTGCAGATGGGGAAGGTCCCATTCTAAATGACTATCCCGCTACCATACCGTCCGTAATCCGCGCTCCGGTGTTACCAACGCTCAAAAATGGCGTTCTTACCCTAAATGTTAAGTGTGACCTTTCCTAGAGTCCGCTGTTTTGTGTTTCGTTCGGGACTCAACAAGTAGGCATCGTTCACATTCAGTTTCAAGAGCTGCGATTCAAACTAACTGATCCGGTCTCGAGATCAAATTCCTAGAATGCTGTTGGTGAATTTACGGACATCTCCCAGGCTCCAAGGCGAGCAGGCTGGTCGTCCGATTTGGCTACAGTGTGGTTGATTCGATCAGAGCTACGTCATATTGCACAATTGAGTACTTATATGGTTTAACAGCATCAGAAACACCGGTACACTAACGTTGATCGCTGTAGAAGCGTCCGATAGTTGCCATCTGATCTGATTTCTTGTCGAAGCCTACTCGGATTTGCCACCAGGAGGCAATTACAGCCGATGGTTGAATACTGTTCAGGGTTGTTAGTTCCCAATGGAATGATACGCTGACAGTCAGTTGCAAGCAAGTACTTTGAGAGTAGTATATTCAGGGATAGAGTGCACGGGGATACCAGTTTTTTTTGTCAGAAATGCATTTTTGGTTGTACCTAGAGACTTGACAAGATCTTCTGGCTGGTTTGTGGATTTTAACAAGTTTCAAAGTTTCCGTCTGTAAGTGGAGCTAATTTATGCTGAAAAACCCAGAAGCACCATGGAGCTGTCTCATTTTTAATGGGAAATCATCAGCAGTGCGCATCCATCTCGGGGTTTTCCAGATGTGTACAGCTAATTATTCCAATAAGGATGAAGCAGTTTCACAGTGCTTCTTGGCTTTCCAACGTGGATTGGCTCTATCCAATCGAAGATTCCAAAACCTTTTTATAGTACCATCAAATATCTAAGTGCTGGGCTGTCAGTCTTGTTTGGTCAGATTTACATCGACATCAAAGATTTGCATGTGACACCGCTTTGGCTACCGCGCGGGCATTTTGTGATACACCAATGCTTCACAGGTGTCCTCCGACAGATTCGTATCGGCCGCCAGTTGACCATAAATAGATCTGGAATCCCAAGGTGTTCCAAACATGTTCCAGTTAGAGAAATAACTAACTATCGCTGTTCC